AAAGCCAGGGTCTTCACTCACACAGCTATAAGGAAACACATCTGCAAACAACCCGATTTTGCGCGGAAGCAGATTCTTCCAGATGTGACTGAACTTCCGGAAGGAAACGCAGCCCGGCCAACACCTTGACTGCAGGCGTGTGCGACCTTGAGCTGAGGGTTCGGTGAAGCCATGCCCAGACTCCTGGCCCAAGAAACTGTTAGATAATAAATGTGTGTTGTTCGAAGCCACTAAGTTTGTGGTCATTTGCTCCATAGCATAGAAAATGAACACAACTTCCTTCTTGGAAAATGTTTTATTTTCTTATTCTACTACTCTGGAAAAGTCTGGATTTCCACCGGTGAGTACCATCCAGAGAAGAGTTAAGATATTTTAGTGAATACATATGACCCCTGTATTTATCTTGCCTTATATCTCTATACTTAATCTCTATACTTAAGAGATTAAGTATACTAGTAAACTCATGCTTGTTAAAAAGATTTTATTTATTTTGGAGAGAGAGAGAGACAGCACCACAGTGGGGAGGGGCGGCCGGAGAGGAAGAGAAGGAGACCCCCTGCAGAGCTTGACAGGGGACTCCATCCCAGGACCCTGGGATCATGGCCTGAGCCAAAGACAGATGCTTAACCCGCTGAGCCCCCCAGGAGCCCCTGAACTCATGCTTGTATCGTCTGACGCATCTTCTGCAAACAGCTCAGGCTCAACAAAGTGCTTGTTATTTTCATGTCACTTCATGACATTCCCACTTCGTGGTGATTAAAGGTACACAAATATTCTGAGCCTTCAAAGGCATAGCTCATAAAACGAAGGAATAACTCCGAGTCACTGAGATTGAGCTCTCGGGATCGACTCGCATCTGGGCAAGGGCCCACGAAGACCACCGCTCTCCGAACAAAGGCAAGGGTGGGGCTTATCGAGGCAAAAGCCATGGCGCTTCCCAAGGGATGGCTCAGTTTAACACGTCCTCGGCTTCTCAATCCAGAATTGGGTGTAGTGGAGCTCGGTCGGTTGACCCGTAAACCTGGAGTTCCTTTCTCAACTGTAGACAGCACAGGCACAGATTCCTACCAGGCTGTTCTGCTCGTTCTAACCCATTTTCTGGGAAGAAGTTACTCTGGTGCCTTCTTCAGGGGCGCTCAGTCTTTGCTGTCTTACACCCGTCTGGCTGTGTGTCCCCAGTGGGCAAGTCCTACACGCACACTCAAGACTCAGAAAAGATGTCTTTTCTTGGTTAGCATAGCCAATTAATAGGGAGTTGTTTCAAGGGAGTTGTTTTTTTTAAGATTTTTATTTGTTTGACAGCGAGAGAGCACAAGTAAGCAGAGCGGCAGGCAGAGGGAGAAAGAGAAGCAGGCTCTCCACTGAGTAGGGAGCCCGAAGTGGGGCTGGATCCCAAGACCATGGAATCATGAACTGAGCCAAAGGCAGAGGCTTAACGACTGAGCCATACAGGTGCCCCAAGGGAGTTTTAATTTAAAAGGAATTTTTAATTGTGCGAGGAAGAAATAGCAAAATCATACCTCTAATCCAGTGATGTGGCCTTAAATGCTAATTAAAATCATCTGGGGAGCTTTTAAAACATAGGCTACCTGGGGCGCCTGGGTGGCTCAGTGGGTTAAAGCCTCTGCCTTCGGCTCAGGTCATGATCCCAGGGTCCTGGGATCAAGCCCTGCGTCGGGCTCTCTGCTCCGCAGGGAGACTGCTTCCTCCCCTCTCTCTCTCTGCCTGCCTCTCTGCCTACTTGGGATCTCTCTCTCTGTGTCAAATAAATAAAATCTTACAAAAAAAAAAAAAATAGGCTTCCTGTGGCCCCACTCTAGACAGACTACATAATTGGTGAGAGGCCATGCTAGCGGGTTGTTTTAAATGCTCCCCAGGTGTTTCTGACGAGCGGCCCGGCTTGAGTCCTGCTAAGCTAACTGGGTTACCCTGCAGCAGTGACGGGTGATGACCTGGTAAGACCTTCAGCACTATTTGCTCTGGTTTCACTGTAAATATGAGAGGCCAATTCAGAAACCTAACAATTTGGATTTAAGATGAGGAAAGTGTCAAATACCCCCAAGTAGTATTAACAGATTGACGGAGAGAGATGAAACATGTACACTTCACTTGGAGGTTTTTTTTTTTTTCTTTTTTAAGATTTTATTTGACAGACAGAGGGATCACAAGCAGAGAGGCAGGCAGAGAGAGAGGGGAGGAAGCAGGCTCCCTGCTGAGCAGAGAACCCAATGCATAGCTTGATCCCAGGACCCGGGATCATGACCTGAGCTGAAGGCAGAGGCTTTAACCCACTGAGCCACCCAGGCGACTTCACTTGGAGTTGTAATGGACATTCAAAACTTAACGTTTACAAAATAAGCTCCTATGTTCCTCCAAAAATCTGTTCTCTTGTGATCTGATTACATGTCAATTTCATTTTACCATTTTCCTTGGGCAAAACAAACCAAAAAACACACAAAACCCAAAAAACTTCTCTCTTTTTCATTTCCCACATCCAATCCATCTGCAAATCTTGTGGACTCTACCTTCAAAACACCTGGGATGTAAGGAACCTCTCCTTACTCCTCCATTGCTACCTCCCTAGTCTAAGCCAAAGCATTTCTCACTCTCCGCACTTTGTCCATTACCTATGTCGCTGCGATTCTCAAAGTTTTTGATCACAGGATCCTTTTACACTGTTAAAAATTATTTAGGATCCCAAAGAGCTTTTCCTTATATGGGTTATATCTGTCGATGTTGACTGTATTAAAAATTGAAACTGAGAAATAGTTAAGATACTTATTGTTTAAAAAGAACAAAATGTCTATTAAATGTTAACAATAAATTACATATTTTTAAATTTTTTATTTTGAAATAATTATAGACCATAAGGAGTTAAATAATGCAGAGAGATCCCGTGTTCCCATCACCCTCCCCAACTCACTTCACTACAGTGAATTGTCAAAATCAAGAAATTGATAATAAATAACATATATTAAAGAAAATCAACTATATATCACAGAGCAGAAAAATAGAAGAGTGGCATAGTTTTAATGTCTGGCTTATTGGAAGACAGCTGGATTACTGTATCTGCTTCTACAGGCAATCTGCTGTGATGCGGTTTGTTGGCTGAAGTATGTGAAGGAAATCCAGCCTCTTATAGATATGTAATTGAAAAAGAATAGAGTATTTTAATAACCTTTTCAGATCATTGTGTGTAACCAATCTTCTCTGATACTACACCAGAATTTGACAAATAGTAGTTCTTAAACATTAGTAGAAATGAGTAATTTAAACCATAACCATAAACGTCTCATGCAGGTCACACCATACAGCCAAAGACCACAAGGAACACACCTAAAACTGAACAAAGTTAGGTTTGCTGGATGTTCCAACCCAGCCAGTAGCAGCCCAAGCTGAGAAAACATGGAGCAGAAGAATCACCCAGCCGAGCCCCGTTGACCCACAGAATCATGAACTATAATAAATGGTTATTGATGTCCTAAGCCACTAAGTTTGGGGATAGTTGCATAAATAAACCGAAACACTGACAATTCAGGGAATTAAAATTTAGCCATGTTAATCAAAATGGAAGAATAATTTTAGGAAGTGCTCATACTTACCCAAAACATTGTTTTCTAAAGATATACTGGTTTTCTTTTTCCGTTTTGAGATTTTTGACATGTCTTCAATTTGTAAGTATTTTGGGGCACTGTTGTCTATTAAACAATTATGCCTGCCCCCGGACATAGAATATACATGCAAGTATAATTAATGGTCCATAAATCTTTAACAATCTTTAAATGTGAGTGTTTATTTCTGTAGAACTCAAAACTTCTTTGATCTGTATTTTAATTAATTAATTAATTAATTTTTTTAAATTTTATTTATTTGAGAGAGAGACAGAGAGAGTACAAGCAGGGGCAGGGGCAGAGAGAGAAGCAGACACTCCACCAACCAGCAACCCCAAAGTGGGGCCCAATCCCATAACCCTGAGATCACAACCCAAGCCAAAGTCAGACACCAAACCAACTGAGCCACCCAGGTGCCCCTGTATTTTCATTTTAAAACAAAGGCATTAAATTCTCAATCTGTGGGTTATTGTTTTGAAATATTTCCCAGTTATAGACTCAGAGAGTCTTATGAATTGTAAGGGACTTTAGATACTAAGTACAATCTCAAAACCACTTCTTGGTAGGTGTCTGCTGGGACGCTCCAGGGAGGAGGTCACCGCCCTTAGAGGCTGCCCAGCTCCGTTTGGAGGGAGATGTATGTGTTAAGTTCTCTCTGGTGTCCAACATCAGGCGAGTATGAGGATCTGGAGTCAGAAGGTTTGGACGTCAGTTCTTGGCTATGGGATCTGGGAGGTCACCTGTCTGACTCCCAGAGATCCAGCTCTTTTGGAGGCAGAAAGTAGCCGTAAATACCCACACAGGTGTGTTGAGATTCTGGGGACAAATTAACATAAAAACAGAAGCAGAATTATCATGACATAACCTTCACCTTAGTCTTAAACTAAATGATACAGAGCTGAAACTCCTTATTACTAACTGATTATAAACCATTTTATTTTTTCTCCCCAAAAGAAGATAATTTTAGGCACGCATTTCTTTTTGCAAACAGATTAGAGTCATTAATATATTTCTTTTTATCTTAATTTTAAATAGTTCAAGTGTACTCACTTGGGTTTTTTTTTCTTTCTTTTTCATTAAATTTATTTTTCTGGTATCTTATATATGGGAAATGATATTGGTTCTTCAATTACAGTATTGAGGTAATGTTTTCTTTTAAAAAAAGTGTTCATACTTGGGGGGGGAGCACCTGAGTGGCTCAGTCAGTTAAGCATCTGCCTTCGGTTCAGGTCACGATCCCAGTGTCCTGGGACTGAACCCTGCATCAGGCTCCCTGTTCAGTGGGGAGTCTGCTTCTCCCTCTCCCTCTGCCTTTCCTTGCTCATGTTCTTTCTCTGTCTCTCTCGCTCTCTCTCAAATAAATAAATAAATAATGTTTAAAAAGTATCCATACTTACCTGGTAGGGGAAGCACCATGATCACAAAGGTGGTTTTCCCAGGCGAGACTTATCCATTGCACTATGGATGTGCTGACCCCTGCAATTTCCCCAAATGGAGGAAACGCTGCATAATTTGTGGTAATGGGGGACTGCACTCACACTGTCCCCTAAAAATAAAATAAAATAAAATAAAATAAAATAAAATAAAATAAAATAAAATAAAATAAAATAAAATAAATAAAGCATCCACAGAGTTTGGGAAACACTGGCCTTGCAGAAGAAGTCTAAACTCTATGATCTAGTCTGTGTCCACCTCTGTAATCTCAAAACTGAGCAGCTTCCCCAACCCTTTCTAGCCACTTGGATCTCCATATGATCCCCCAATTATACTCTACCTTTCACAGTGTTTCCTGGATCCTAAATGGCCCATGTACCCTTTGGCCCAGCCTCATTCTTCAAGACCCCCACTCAAATGCCTTCTCCTCTGTGAAGCCTTCTAGTGACCCGTCCCCTCCTCAGTTGCTCACCTTGGGTTCCTTCCGGTGGAGCCGGAATCACACCCTCACAGCAGTGACTGGCTTCCGTCCAGCCTCCACTACCTCCTTAGGAGCACAGGGCAGGTGTCATGTCCTATTTGCCGAACATCGCTGGCAACTGGCCAGGCATGCACTAAGCCCTCCATAAATATCATCTGAGTTAGTGAACATTAATAAAGGCCAAAAATATCCTTGTTTCTGAACTGGAATCCACCACCAGCTTACAAATTCAGCATGAAGTATCTCTGGAAGATTCATGGTCAGAAAAAAAAGAAAAGGATCACACTGAAGTCAACGTAGTCATGGCAACAAAAATTCCTTAAAAAAAAAAAACAAAGATTAAAAAACAGCTACACAAAGATTTTTACTTAGGTGATGATCTGCTGGTGTCATGAGCACACAGGGACACAGGCAATGTAAGGGCCTGCTTAGCCTGAGGGAGTCATTTTGTGTTTATGCAGTGAACTTAGATTGACCCCGCCCCTCCCAGAGGAACTTACTTGCAAAGCCCAGATACAAGGGCGGGTCAGGCCAGGTGGAGACATCCAATCAGTGGGGCACGCATATATCTACTAGGGTAAATTGAAATTCAATTGGCCACCCGTGTGTAACCTACCATGACTGCGCAGTTTTCTCTGTGTATTGCAATCTCATTGGCCACCTGTGTATAGCTGGGCTCAACCACCTCTATAAAAGTTAGTCTGTGAGGCTGGGAGGGGGTCTTCTCTTTGTAACAGATGCCCCCGCCGGTGGGTTTGATTCTCGATGCTTGGCGCGAAATAAAGCTTTGCTCGACCTTCGCTTTGTATCAGTCTCGCTCCTTTGATTACGGACCCTAACAGGCACCCTCCAACATTGTTGGGGAAGGTGTACCCTCCTGAAGAAATGCTCGTTCTCCTGGACTCGTCATCCCACTTGTAGGTGACGACCTCCAGAAACACTCGGTCCTACAGACCCTGCACGAGAGACGCACATGGCAGCATCGCTTGTAACGGAGACACACAGCAAACCTCCCATCTACACCGGAGTCTGTCAATGAGGGAGGGGACAGACAGGTTCTGCGCCCCCTCTGCCTACAGAACCCAGCGCAGCACTGAAGAGAATACTCTGCTGTAATGTTCCCTGTCCCGCTCCAGCGGTGGGTCCCCGGTGAATCCGGGGACCTCACCCGTGCAGTGGCCCAGGAACGTCGTGAGCGACATCCTGCGAGCACTCTTACTGCCAAGGCTGCTATCACTCAGTGTCCTCTGAGGTTTTCTAATCCTCATGGGACAGTTTCGGAATTGAAAAAAATACAATAAAAATACACGTCTAAAAACTAAAAAGGGGCCTCTGTGCCTCAGTAAATCGTGCTTTTCACGCCACCAGGTGTCACTCTGAGCAAATGCCCTGTGTCTCCAACGGGGTGGCCAGAACGTGCTGTGGCTCCTGGTCCTTCCCGAAACCGCCAGATCGGGTCTCGGGGAAGGCGGACATCCGGAAAGCGACCCCGTAGAGCTCCGGGCGCCGAGTGGCTGCGTCTGGAAGGGGAGACAGGGGTGTAGACTGGTGAAGCCAGGACGTCGGGGAGGCCGGGACAAGCTGGGAAAGGGATGCTCGCTCGCCCGCCACCGCCCGCAGCTCCTCGTCCCGTCGGCCGTAATCTCTGTGCGTGTGGGCCGCCCTGACCTCTGGTCTTGTCTCCAAAATGGCTGCCTTCAGGCAAGACCTTCCAGCGCCCAGCAAGGAGTTTTGGAAGAGGGAGAAAATCCAGGTGGAATCTGACCAGAGTCTGACCAAATTTCCAGCACCTACTAAATTACAGGAGCTACGAGGCCCAGCGGAGGGTGCCAAAGGACAGCAGGAGTTACTGTGTAGTCCAGCAAAATCCAGGATGGGGAACGTACCGGACAAACGAAGTGGTTTCTTCAAAAATAATTTACGGGGAGACAAAACAAAAAGAGAGGAAAGGGCGGCCCTCAGATTAAAAGGAGATCAAGGTCCATATCAAGCAGTTGCAATGTACTTGTATTGATCCAATCTACTTGGATCCCTGATCAAATACACTGTAAAAAAAACAAAAATCAGAGATGTGTGAATACTGACCAGGTGTGTGATGATATGAGGGGATTATTATTCATTTTTAGGTATGATAATGATTTTGAGATTATTTTGCTTTCAGGTCCTTAGAGAAACATACTGAAATATTTACTGGGATTTGTTCCCAAATAGGAAGCAGTGGATGAGACTATAGATGAAGTCACACTGGCCCTGAGTTGATCATTATTGAGGCTGGTTGATGATTACACGAAAGTTAATTATACTGTCCTCTTTTAATTATACTGTCCTCTTTACGTTCTTTGTTTGAATTTTTCTGTAATAAATTTGAAATTAGACATCAGTGTTCAGGTAGAGGGAGCAGGTTCCACACTGGCCAAAGCAAACAACCAAACGAGATCTCTAGGGCACAGCTGGAACTAGAGGAGAACCATCAGAGTCATGGAGCTTCAGAGTGGACAGGAGTTGAATAAACACAGTTTATTCATTTTGTGGGAGTGGGGGGAGGGGAATCACCACATCTCATTCAGCCTCAGTTTCCTCATCTATAAGATGGGCATCGTACAACAGTATTTTCCAGGGGAGGAAATGAGAGAAGCATATGAAAGAGTATTCTGAACACGGAGGACCTTGGGAGATGGAGAGGAGAAGGGAGTTGGGGGAAATTGGAGGGGGAGATGAACCATGAGGGACTGTGGACTCTGAGAAACAAATGAGGGTTTTGGAGGGGAGGGGGTTGGGGGATGGGTGAGCCTGGTGGTGGGTATTAAGGAGGGCACATATTGTATGGAGCACTGGGTGTGGTGCATAAACAATGAATCTTGGAACACTGAAAAAATAAAGTTAAAAAAAACAAACTGAAACCCATAGTAAAGTACTACCCAGGTACTAGTAGTCTTTTATGTGATAATCCTAGCTCATTTATTCACACACGTTTTCCATAAATGTTTATGGGATGCCAGAGGCTATGTTAGGCACCACAAATACAAAGATGACAGGTTGCTAGCTCTGCTTTATCTAATTCAGTGTTTCTCAACCCTGGATGTGCACTAAGGATCCCAATGGCTGGGCATCACCCCAGAACAATTGAATCAGAATCTCTAGGTATGGGACCTGGCATAGAGATTTTTAAATTTTTTTAAGTTTCACAGGTGATTGATTCCACTATGCATCCAGGTTAAGAACACTTTGTCTGCTTGATCTTTGATCAAGGAAGAGCAATGAGCAGTCGTTGCGAAGATAGGGTGTTGGTTTATGTGGTTCTCAGACTTTTAATGAACGGAGGCGTCCTCTAGGTGTTCACTTCCTGGAAGGACAGGCTTTGTCCAGCTCTAGAGCCGTGCTGTCCTCTGGCCACATCTGACCTCCTCATTTGACACAGGAGTAAGATAATTTTGGATATTTTCCATGGAATCTAATGTTGGGTTTTTCTTCCTTATGGGGAATTTATCTTCTCTGATTATAAAAGCTTTTGGGTTTTGTAAACTTCCCAGTTTCAGGCGCGAGCAAGAGAGACGGGTCAGAATTCCTGAGTCACATGCCAGGTCAGACCTTCCAGAGTTTGCACCCCTGAGTCATGCTGAACACTGAAACCATGGGACTGGAGGTAGGACAGCAGTGAGCCTGGCCGCACCATTCGACCCAGCACAGAATTCCCCAGCAGCAACTTCCTGTTCCGTCTTCCTCTTTGTTCAGAAGGCTCTGAAAGGAGAGAAGCAGGATCAATGGAAATGCCTAAGAAAGGAAAGAAAATCTTGGTTAAAAAGTAAAACTTCTGGAGAGACAAGATAAAATAATTTTGGGAGAGCAGAGTTCCTAACTCTCCAATCTCTGTCGTAGAGGTAGGAGTTGTAGAAAACCATGGAAATAAAGATTGACTTGCAGTGGTGTCTTACTGGACTTCTTCTCTTTACACATCCAGGCACCTTTCTCCCTCAACACACAGGTTCAAATGCAAGCACCTAGAGGGATCTTTCTGGGCACAGAGGAAGCTGAAGGGGGAAAAAAGCTCACGCTGTGAAATCACAGATGCTAAGTGAAATCCCAGCTCTGACCCTTACCTGCTGTGCGGCCTTGAGTAAAATGCTCAAATGTTTTCCTATCTGTAAAGTAGGGTTCGTGATAGTACCCACTTAATAAGGTTGCTGGAAGATTAAAGAAGATAAAACTTGAATGCGATTAGATGACGTAATGAATGCTCAGCACAATATCCACTGAATAATAAACTATAATTAAGTTTTTCAGAGGATCTACTGCCGGAAGTCCCCTAGACCATTGTTTCTTATACTTGTTTGTGCGTATGAATCACCTGGAGACCTTGTTAGAAGCATATTCGGGGCACAGAGTTCTAGTTTGGGAAGATGGAAAAATTCTGGAATGGGGTGTGAGGTTGCACTACAATGTGAATGTACTTCGTGCCCCTGAACTGTACATTTAAAAATGGGTAAGACGGCAAACTTTATGTACGTTTACAGTATATTAAAAACTTAAAAAAGTAAACAAACCACACATTCAGTAGCATTTCTAGTGAGCTCTCAGGCTGACAATCTGGTTTGAAGACCACACTTTGGGCAGCAAGGTCCCCTAAATAATGAAGC